GGCCTGTAGAGCGCGACGAAGAATTGGTGAACTTCCGTCGCTGTCGCCGAGTCGCGCGAACTATCTTCGGGGTAGCGTTATTCTTCCTCTTCAAGCGGAGTCGCGTACAGTTTGTACCGTGCGGCGCGCTGTAATGCGAAATCGACTGTTTTTGGTCCGCTCAGCCGCAAATCGCTTTTGTCCCCCCCCCCCTGCCGCATTTTATCACCGCGAGCTCTTTCTCTTTTTACACCTCTCGGTCACGCGCGTACGTTGCGCGCACTCACACGCGCGCGGAAGCAACTCGCGGAGATAAAAATCAGTAATTAGCCCGGACCATTATGGCGGCTGTGTGAAAAATTAGCGAGTCGTGGGGTAACCGCCCCTCTGGGCATAATCCTGCATCGGTAACGCCGTGTACCAGCGTGCATCCAACCTGTCTCTGATTTATACGGGTTTGCTATTAATTATACCCATCCACTAGTGCGCGCACACCACTCCCCCCCCCCCCTTTCCGTATCGCCTCGTCGTCCTCGTCTTTTTCTCCACGTCCGGCTACTTTATCACGCACAATCGTTCCTCCCCCCCTTTTTTTATCCTCACACGAGGGCTCGCGCTTTTATTAACGTTTACGTCCATTCATGTTCATTTAAATTAAACAAATTAATGCAGCGAATCTCTTCTTGTGAAATCTCAACTTGAAGCTTATTAAAGAGTGCAATGCCTAACAATATTGGAAATTGCAAAAAATTACAATTTATAGAAAATGGCGTATCGCTATGCGATGTGAACGGGGGAAAAAATGAAACCGACATCAAGTTCTATCTACGTAAAACGAATGCACGTATATGTCTATTAAAATGTTGGATGAGACGCTTTTACCAAATCGTATCAAACCTCAAATGTCGATGTTGCAACGCGCGCGCGCGTTTTCTCCGGGTCAACTTTCGGCTGTTAAATGTTTTTATTTTGTTTTACACGCGCCAAAGAATTCGAGCCATCGCGTCGAGCCGAAAATTCCGTCCCGGGTTTTGCGCCGGTCGTTGTTTCGACTGCCGCTGGCCCCGGACCCGACGGGCTGCGGCGCAATTAAATTAAATGCTTCGGATTAATTGTTCGAAAGCAGTTAAATTAGTTGCGTTTGTTTCGCTCGATTTTTGCGCAATCTCGCTGCGGAATGCGTGAGATGCACGCATCGGGGGAATTTCGTTACCCGCGGCCCCTCGCGCGTTATATAGCTCGGTGCCCTGCGAAATCACCGCGATGCAAACGTATCAACGCGGAACGATGGCGTGCCCCGAAAAATTCATTTGCAAAAGCCGCATTCGACGCACCTCCGTCACGCCGAGCGAGAGGGAATACCCCGCGCGATCGACGCGGCGCGCGAGCGCGCATTTTGTCAGCACTTGATTAAAAGCTTAAACAGAGTCGACCCAATTATTAATGTGATGCACAGTGGGCAATGCAAATTTCACAATTATAACAACGAATTTGATGTATAACATTGAATTTTAAAGCATCGTTGACCAGAATTTAAACCGCTAAATGCGAAATTTATAAAATTAACCTATATAAATCGACGTTTCTCTCTAGTTTCGCATTTATTTTAAATACAATTTGTTGATATCAATTCTTTATGTCATTTCATTCGATTGTACACATATTGAACATTGCTGAGAGAGAGAGAGAGAGAGGGGGGGGGGAGCCACTGAGCGAGAAGGAAAAGTGAAAAAAAACGAGAGTACAAAGGCACTCTCTCCCGCATTGTCGTTTCCGCCTGCACTGGCGGATCGCAATTTTTCTTCGATACCGCGGCGAAGATCCCCCTATTACCGCGCATACCAGCAGCCACTGAAGACCATCCCAACGCCCCCGTCTCGATGATATTCGACCGGCCAATCCCCGTCGGGGATCGCGCCCGGTATAGCTGCCGAGCGGCCGAGAGCCGCATCCTAGAGTGCAGCTGCAGCGCCGGCGCGGACTCTTGAGCCGCATTGCTCGGATTCTGGCGAGGATGCGTCTAGGAGCGAGAGGCTGACGAGCTCGCAAGTAACGCGCCGGTAGAGACATGGTCAGACTGGCATCCGGCCGCAAGCTCTCGACCTCATCGCAACCATACACGCTGGCCCTCCCCGAGGCCGGTCCTCCACCCGGCTTTCGAGCCGGCTCTCACCCACCCACCTAGACGGGGAGACAATCCTATGCCTCTCTCGCCCTCGTCCTCCCCTCGTTCCTGCGAGAACGGGAGCGCGCAACATGTCGAGACATTCGGGACACGACGGATCGAGGAGAGATATGCATCATTTGGTTACCCGACTGGCCGACTAGGCGCGTCTCCGATCGGCGTGCCTACGGATGCATCCCCGATCGGATTGGCCCCGGGCGATCGGTATGCGAAAGGGTCCTCCAGTCAAGATTTTCAGCATAGCTGCGCGAGCATGCCGCCCGGATTCGGATCCACGAGTCTGCGTTCCGATATGTCCGCGCCCGTATGCACTCGTGTGCTTCGTTACCGGAGAACGTTACGTCGCTTGGTAACCGTAATAGCGGAAGAGTAATGGGGGCGCTAATACGAAATACCGTATCGGCGCACTCGCGTCGTGCGTGTCGCATATCTTCGCTTTTGGGACACTATCGCGCCCGGACTGCTTTCAGCGCTGCGCTCGTCGCGTATTCTTTAAAGATCTTTCGAACAACACGAGGCAGTGAAAATCACTTTAATCTAGGGAATGTTCTTGTCATTTTTCGACAAAATGTTTACGACATTTAACAGCGAGATACCATTTACGTTACTGCAACTCTTGAGAATCGCACTTTGGACGAGGCGTCCTCGCGCCCAACGATTCTCGGGTTTCGCCGATTTGCCCAAAGGGCCAACGATCTTCACTTTTTTTTTCTGTAAGAGTGTTAACGCTGATACGCGATACATGGATCGGTCGTTCGTTCGGCAACGCGCATTCCCGACACCGAAATTGCATACCTCCGTGTACGCGCACATACGGGCTGGAAACAAACGAATAGGGTTGTTCGGGCGCCGTAAAGGGTCCGGTGGGACGAGGAGACGCGGGGCCGGGCGGGGCTGGGGATTCGCGCGGGGGTTGCAGGGGGAGCAAAACGGCGGTGGATGGTGGTGCCGGTGACTCGGTCGCGCGAGAGAGCGAGAGGGGTTTGGGAAACGTAATCGCTCTGGCTCCCCCCCCGCGCCTCGACCAACTACCCCCTACGCGCGTTTCGTCTCTCTCTCTCTCTCTCTCTTTCACCCTTCCCACCGCCTCCGCTATTTATTGCTCGCACTCGGCCGGTTCACAACATAAATATGTTACACCTATGGCCGGCACCTATTGCACCGAGCCCACGAATTCCTCCGTTGCCGTCCGAACGAAGAAAGAACGTCGTCGAACTGGCGGATTAGCGCTTTCGCCACAAATTGGCTCATTCACCGCGCGGGATATCGTCTCCGTATGCTACGAAGCGAGATGATGATTTTCAAAATCGTCGTCATTAATAAAATGAATATTTAGGAATTTCGCAAAGAAACGTATAGAGTTCTCTTACTGTGTAGAGTACTGTGCACAGGTTGCCTCAAATTTCTTACCCAACCAATTCATCTTTTCCTGATAACCGCTCGGAGAAATTCGTTTGAGTTAAAAGTAAAAGATTTCTCGGTAATTAAATGGAAAATAGGACTCCGGAGGTTTTTTATTTTACGTGTGATCGCAAATGAATTATTTGAATAAGATGCAACCTGAGAATTCATTGCAATAGTATTAGATTGAAGTTGTAGACTTGCGAGAAATAATAATTTTCTTCGATGTCTTCGTTAGGACAGACGCGTCTCTTATTTTTGCTAATCTCAGAATAATGTCCGACACATTTTCTTTCTGTACAGCGCAGTATTAAATTGGAAAAATTATACAAAAAGTAAATTAGTTCGTTATAAGTTTAGAACATTGCCCCTAAAAGAAACAGGAGCATTAATTATGAAATAAAATTTCTTTTTCTCCGCTTTTTTTACTAATTAAGTTCAACATCGCAAGCATGTTGCTGGATATTATATAAACGTCGTTCTATATATAAAAAAAATACATTAAAAAGAATTGAAGATCCTTTCAGGTAGAAGGAAAAATTCAGATATTATCTATTTGCCATTTCGTTTTATCACTCGGAATATATTTTCGCCTGGTTTCACGCGGAAAATTCTCTCAACTTTTTTTAAATACCTTCGTTACACCCTCAAGAAATGCTTCTCTCAGGATGTACGAACAGAGGGTGCCTGTTTGAAGGGCGGTAACATCGAGGGTTAAGTTTCAAAGATAAAAGAAGGACCAACTGTTGAATATCGGCTTCCAACCGACACCGACGCCTATTATACGTCAAACTTTCTTACGTGTACCGTGCTATATCTTAAGATCTCATTTGCATGTTACATTTACATTTTTATGTAACTCGCATACTCATTTCACATAGTGCTACTCAAACGTTATCACTCACATTGTGCGAACTAAATAAGTACTTGAGAATATTCTATTTAATTTCTCATAACATTTTCTTTATTTAACGAAATAATAACGAGTAATCTGCAATATAAGGAAACTACTATCTTAAACGTGCCGTATAATTATTACATTGTTACCAAAGCTTTATAAATATCTAGAGGAATTCTATTAGATTCTATTGGAAGTCGTCGAAAAATTAATTAAGAGTGCGTACAACACGCATCTTTTATATCTTATTTTTTATCATTTTTATTACGCACGATATTTCTACTGGCACATAAAAAGTATTAAATTTTCAAGTTAACGTGTTCTGTTAGTCATGCATATGCGTTTACTTTGTAAAAATTTCATCTTTAATACGCGATTGTTAATTATTGACCGCTATGAGAAATCATATTTTATACGCACATCTTTGATCACGCACAGTGAAATGCAGAGTAAAAGGTGCAAGAATGTTTTTATTAAATCTGCGTACGAAAGCATTGATGCGATGTTAAAGCAATATTAAGCAAATAACTTTCTCACCTCGTCCGTAACTCGTTGAAATCTGGTCTCGCCGATGGTTCTCGACTTTGAGAAAACGAAAGACGTCGATCTCAGCGGGTTTCTCGAAGCACAGTTAAATCTTTCACGTCACAACAGTACAATATGACAATGACTCAACCGATCATTTATACAAAACGCGCCGATAGGTAGAACGAGGGAAGTCCGAGGAGAAGAGAGAGACCGAGATACGATACAGAGAGGGACGGCGAGAGAACAAGGAGAGCAGTCGAGAGAATGCGGTACAGAAAGAAGCTGTTGAAGGAGCTCGCGCAATAAGGAACCGAGGAGGGGGAGATCCCCCCACGGTGAAGAAAGACGCGCTCTCCGCTCACCCCGGCGGCGTGAACACCGTCGCTCCGACCCCTCGCAAGCTCTCCCGCAAGTGCCCGTTCTCGCGCGCGCACCGGGCTCTCGCAGCTCCGCGAATGCACGTGCAACTCGGACGCGTGCCACGTGGTGTTTGGTCGGAGTGGCTCGGCCACGAAAGCCGGGAGCCGGAGCGGCGAGCTTGCAAGCTGCCGGGCGCTTTCATTGGCCGATGGGTGGAAACTGCGCATGATTGCGGGTGTGGCCCGAGCTTGAGGGGCGGAATAAGCTCGGGCCGGTGATAGGACACCCCGAAAGGGGGCACGTCTCCATGGGTGGGCCCCGGGTGCCCCGGTCGTCACCTCGCCACCCCCCCTCGTGGCTCGGAGCTTTTTCCTTAATCTCGTAACGAGCGCGAGAACTGTTCTCCCGTCCGAGCCTCGAACTTGCGAACTGGCTTCTTCCGCACGAACGGGCGTGCTCTTTCGAGGCGATGGAATGGCGGCACTCGAGTGTTCGTTACCGCGGAGGAAATCATGCGGCGAACGCGGGGATTAAACCTCAAGTGGTAACGGCAGTGTCAAATCAGACACCGCGACGTGGCTGCGAGACTCGCCGGCTCGCGCGTTTTTCGCGCGAGAAGCTTCACAGGGAGACCGACAAGCGAAACGCACTTTGAAAAGTGAAAGCTGTGCTTGCGTAATCGATTACGTAATAATACTTTTCGCGTCCAAAATATTTACTGTGCTAGGAAACTTCAACGATAAATTGTTTGTCCGATACCTTTAGTCGAGTACATCTTAAAATGGTTTAGTTATTTCAAATTGATAAAATTCCTATGGCTCAAATGTGGTAAAGGCAAATTTGAAGGAATACAGGACTAAGAGCCGTGACAGGGTGTTAGTGTCTAAATATTTCACATTTTAGTTATTTCGACTTCTTAATTAGAGAAAAGTAAGGAGGGGGGGAGAAAGAAAATTTCCGATAGAAATTTAAAAAAATAGCAAATATGTTTACTCGATGCTTTTTTTCTAAGGCTTCTATTTTCCCCCTCTCCCCCACACACACCTCTTATATTCGTATTGTTTGCGAAATACAAGAGACCTTGTTTCATGTGCTGCTAGAAAATGACTGCATTAGCCAAAGAGAAGCTGTCAATATTAATTGCGATATAAAATAGTTTTCTTTTTTAGCAACAGGTGGAAGGCTCTCGAAGCGTGTACCACCGAAAAACAGGCGTACACACATACACACGCGCAGAGAAAGATGGCGAGAGCACATCGAAAGAACGGGGGAGGGGAGGGGAGATGGAAAGTGCGAACGGGCGATTTAGCGAAGCGAAATTCACGCCGGCGTATTCGAACGGGTTCCGGATACTTGTGCGATGTTCGTTCGGTCGTTAACATACGCGGACGGTTCATGGATGTCTGACGAGGCCGCGGATCCGCGATAAAGCGAAAGTCTAATTACATCTGGCCGATAAATAAATCGGACCGGCTAAACAGCCCGGCGAGTCGGCCAGGAATTTGATTCGGGGGACAAGGGTGATCCCCATCGCGTATTTACACGGAATATCTACCGATCGGCCTGATCTCGCTAATTTTACCCATTCACTCTCGGCAAGTATTTGGTATTTGCGTTGGACCCGCTTGACGCGATGTATTATGGCTCGGATTTTCGAGGTCGACGTTCCGCCGATTCAAAGATGTTCTTCATTACGAATTTCAGCCGTTTGATGACCCGCGCTGGAAACCTATTGACGCGGGCTTTATTGATTCGCTAATTAATTCTTGACGACCGACACAGGTTAATGCGACATAATTATATGTGACAGTATGGGAATTTATGTCGTACACTTGCGCCCGCTAAATATTTCAAGATCTCTTTAAATATTTGCACAAATGCACTCGAGATTGTGTCTCTTAGACTCCGGTTTCACCAACGTCGCTTAACTTTAAGCTTAGCTCGATTCGTTCTTTGTCTCTTTCCAACTGTTACTCTAGAAAGAGATAAACATGAATTGAACTGAGATTAAAGTTAAGCGACATTGGTGAAACTGGACCGTAGGACTGTAAAGGATATATATTTTTTTAAATAATTTATCAAATCGTTCAGCGATTTTATAACATGTGACTTCACTGACGAATATGATTCTACCTAATGAAAAGACCTGCGTTATATGTCCGGTATTTAACGGCGGGCAGGACAGGGTGGAAAAAGACGGTATATGGATTCATTTAGTAATTTAATTCGCCACCTCCACCTTTGCCAGGTCCTAAATGGCTTTTACGTTGCTAATGATTTCTATTATTTTAAATTAAAAATTAAAAATATCTTTACATAATCAATATATTGTAAATCAGCGAAGTAATATACTAATAATTGCAAACTTTCATATCATTTACGCTGATTAGCTTGTGATGGTAAAGCATATCTTTTTTATCACAAAAAATTATCGATTTGTTCTCGAATCTAACAATAAGTAAAGTCCCTTGTTATGAAACAGGCTCCTAATATGAGACAGCGCGTTTTCAATTTCGCAAATCTTTTTAACGATTACACCCTACGATCTAACAATGAATTTCCCACTAAACAAATTTCAGTACAAAGGCGATAAATTCACGGCGAAACCAACAGATGATGTAGCTATTTTATGTAGCGGAAACCCCGCTATCTCGTATTAGGAGCCTGTTTTATAATAGGGGATTTTCCTCTACGAATACTCGGAGGGAGTTTTCTTTTAGAATTTACTCTGAAGAAAGTAAAGCCAACGGCACACGATACTATTTTTCCTACTGGATTGCTTACGAAAGCCAATCAGGACGCAGAGTTTTCGATCAGGTGACTCAAAGCTGAATCCTGGTTGGCTCTCGTAAGGAATCCAGTAGGAAAAATAGTATCGTGTGCCGTTGGCTTAAGTCGTGAGACAACGTGGTATTTCGAAGAATTTTATAAAAGCTTTTTGAACCTTTACTGTGCATTTTAGTAATATTAATCAAACATTTGATATTTTATTGTGGTGGATATTAATATTTTTCATTGTGTTAGATACTAATCAGAAAAACGCTCATACAATTCTTCCAAATGCTGTCTCACGACTACCATGATTTTCAGGGTAAATTCTAAGAGCAAATTCTCTCCGCATACGAATACGAGCCAACAAATGCTTGTGCATCAAGGTACACCTAGAAAAAATTTATTTAGGTTAAACAAACGAGATACGTTGAAATCGTGTTTCTTTGGATCTACTAAATTTTTATTTACTTTTTCTAAAACATTTGCTAGATTTGAAGAAATAGATATGAACTTTCTTAGAAATTTCAGTGTCAGTCAAATAAAATAGTTTCTTTGAAGTAAAATAAAAAGTCAAGCAAGGTCAAAAGTCAGAGAAAATTCGTTTCACTTCAAAGAAACTTTTTCTGAGCGTAGACAGCGATAAAAACCCCAAAATATATTCCCATTATTATAATAGTCCTTTGTTGAAATTTAAAACACGTCACGTTCGTTAACGCTCGAGCGGCGTCTTGTGCAAAATTAAGGTGCTAGAAAGTTCATTTCGGTATGCCATCCATAGACGCCCGTACATGAATGTTTAACGGTCCGTCGTCTCGGCGGCCGCCCAATTATATGACGTCAATTATTGATTAATTGCAATTATAACGCGAACGGTTTCGAGAGGGCCCGATACGGATATAACGATCGCCATTTCATAAATTCGCAATGACGTGAGAGAGCGGGCGAGCGAGGGCACCGCTCCGCGCTGCGCCGGCCTCTGAGTGACGTGTCATTTATCGCATAACGCGAACGTTTATGCGCATTCGTGTCGCATAATTGCAATTAGAGCGGAATTCATTTACATCGACCGACATTCGATTTGTTCCGAGAGAAAGCCCGGGATTTACACGCGCCCTCGGCGCGGCGCGACGCGGCGCGGTGGACGCGCGCGCGATCGCTCGTGTTAGTCGTGTCGGGATTTATTTCCGCGCGCGTCAATGCCGCCGCGACAGTTCCGCGATGTAAATAGGATTGGATTAGCCGTTACCGACCGCCCTCGCGAACGAGGGGGAGAGAAAGAGAGAAAAGATAGGAGGGAAGTGCCCCTCGTTACGCGATAACGATGGAAGATAAACTATCGAAAGCCGCGGCGGGAAATACGCGGCTCGATGTCGCGCGACATCTCGTAAGATCGCAAGACGAGGCACTCGTCTCGAAAGAATTACGTTTCGAATTGCTACTAATGATTATTGGACTATACTCATTTATATTTTCTCTTTAAGTGTTGAGTTTGAGAGAAGTCCACATTTTCGCGCGATGATCGTATTCGAGAGTGGCTAATGTGTCGATACGTTTTCGTTAGGGAAAGATGAAATTTTGCAGCGTGACCGAGAAATCTGTAACAAAAACGACATGTAACGCGCACTCTGTATGATCAAGGAAGATGATTGATGACCAGCACAAAACGGAAATTGGAGTTTACAGCATACGCGGAATAAAGTACTGGCGTGCGTCGCGCGCGTTACCAAATTGTTTCAGTCTCCGGTTGCGAGGCTACAGCCCGACGGCCGGCAGTTGCAATGCGAAATTTTATACCGATTTTTCGAAAGCCGCACCATTCTACCGGCGCATCCGGATTAAAAGATAATACCGGCGATCCAATTTAATCGCACGATTGACGGGTAAACAGACACCCGCGCGACGCCGTCCTCCGTCCCTTCTCCACCCTTTTAGAACAAATCGTCCGTGGCGCGATGCCCTCGGACCCGGTAGAAAATATAATTCAGAGATATTTATAGCTGGATTACCGCTGGAATTGGGTATCTAATATACATGACCGGGCTACCGAGTCGCACGAGTTTTAATTGTCCCACCGGAAAGACCCTTTTCGAGAATATCGATTCGCGACGCTCGAACGTCGAGCGCGGATTTCTAGCGAGCGGCGAGTTACAAATGACGTTGACGCGATCGACACTGCCATGGATAAATGTCAGATTACGTCGCGAGCTCGCAATCGCTACGGAGAGCGCGCTGGACAAGAGTTTCTCGGCGGCTTTGCCGAAGGATTAGCCGCAATTGATAGCCACGAGAATGGAGGGACGTTCCCGAATTTGTTCGCCGCTCAAAAAGCGAACCGCCGTCGGTGAATCCGGAGT